ATTTTATTTGTCGCGCTGCTGATGACGTCAGGTATGCGCTTTAATCGGGCGTGCTTTAGTGGACCGCGGTTTTGACGGGTCACGAGGAGCTCAGGCAGGTGGGCGTGTCCTCCGGAGCAGCGTACCGGAACAGTATCCAGGGCTGCAGGCAGGGTCCGGTTTGCCCATACCGCAGCATACTGCCTGCAACCCACCATTGTTTACTCCTCTCCTTATCTAATACCTTCTGAGCAACTGGCATGTTTCCAAAAAAAGCACCAGGGATCATTGTTATGTTCTATAATACCTACGCTTCAGCATTATTATTTTAGCCATGAAACTATGCAGGTTGTAAAATTTAGGTGTTGTTAAAAATGAAGTAATTTTCCTCAATTAAGTGTGACCAATGTTAAGTTCATACTTCACTATGAAACACTCCTGTAAGTTCATTTATAAAGGACTCCTCGGAATAAAATTAAAACAATGCATCATGTTAACATCTGATTCAAAAAACACATTGTCTTTAAGAGAGTGGTAGCACTGAATTGGAATATATGAACATATAATATACCGAACACTGGCAAACAGATGACTACCTGTTATTTTTAAAAACTTCTGCTAATTGTTAGACCTGGCAGGTGCCCCTGAGATTAAAGCATTTCCCTTAAGGCATTCATATTATCTTTTACTAAAATTACTCATATGATGCAGCTTATTCATTCTATAGACTAGGTGTGCTTTTGATTCTTACAGATATTTTTATCAAGAAGTGTACCTTGAGACCAGGAGAAGTAATGGAATAATTTAAGAGATAACAATGAGAAGTGACACCTCGTACAAAGTCCAATCCACATCATAGCATTATTACAATTTCCTGCGAATATTCTATGATGTACACGTTTGGATTGTTATGAATGAGAAGAAACAATATAATGGAATCAAGATTCCAATCCACCTGATCTTTCTCAGTTCCTGCAAAATATCTTGCTTATATCTTTGTGCATTATAGGCCAGGAAGTTTTTGGTAAAAAGCAGCCTATATAACTTCAAGGATTTTTTTTCTTTTAAATTAATGCTGTGTTTTACAAAACACCATTAGTTAGTTAGTTATTAAGCAAATTCAAGAAACACATTACAATTTATATAATAATAACTATACATACAACTATGTGTATGTATGTACCTGTGATATATGTGTGTGTGTGTGTATGTATGTGTATGTATGTATGTATGTATGTATGTATGTATGTATGTATGTATGTATATCACACACACACACAAATATGTGTCCAAATCACACATAAGTGATTTCAGGTAGCAATTGAACCTGCAGCCCAATTCTTTATACATGAGAATATAACCTTGTGTATCCCGATCTGCTATTAACCCAGAAAAAAGTCCAATATGATCTTATATAATCTTTTATATCAAAAAATGAAGGAAGTTCAATTTGGAGACATTTGATCAAATCATTCAATCTAAACTTGATTTAATTTGGAAAGTTGACTAATTTGATCAAGTTACATTCAAGTTATATTATATTCTCATCCTTTTGGCTGAGATCAAGAATGTAGTATTGCACACCTCTTTTATTTAGTCATTTCGTCTCCTTTTACCCTTTTCTTCCATTTTTATCATCTCATCTGATGGATTGTAGAGTACTTGAAAGCTTTTACAGGGTAGTCCTTGACTTATGACGATAACTGAGCCTTGCATTTATGGTGGTAAATCATTCATTCATTCATTCATTTTGCTGCCCACTCATTTCAAAGTGACCCTGGACAGCTTACAGCATTAAAAACATAATAAATATTTATAAAACAATAAAAATGGAAATTAAAATCAAAAATAGAATTATAGTTAAAAGAAGAGAGGAAACAGGATGACAGTCATAAAGCAAATGCTGCGGTTGTTAAGCAAACCTACTGTTGTGGAGTTTTCTCCCCCAGAAACTAGAAAGATGTCATACATCATACTCACATGAACCCTGGGTGTTGCAAATAACCATAAATGCAGGCTGGTTGCTGAGTGCTAAATGTGGTTATGTGATTTGTCAGGGGGCAGACATTTTGAATCATGTTGTGAAGAGCCTTTGAGGGGGCCTGTCATAACTTCTAACAGTAGTTAAGTGACCAGTCATACTTTGAGGACACTTGTATCTCTTTTGTGATCTTGAATTGTTGTAACATGTGTTCTCTTGGCTAATATGGCTTCTTGTGTTCTAAGAATAGAATAGAATAGGAATAGGAATCTTATAGTATGCTAAAAATTGAGAGGTACGTAGGTTGCTATGAAGCAATTCATTTGCTTCAGATAATGAGCTGCTTAAAAGGAGAGAAAGAATGAGATTAAAGTATATTTCTGCTATTTTCTTGTCCTTGTTACAGCTGCTTACAACTGCCTTGCTGCAGAACGGAAAGAAATCTTTGTTATTTCTTCAAATTATGGTTATCTTGTGATTCATGGTATTGTTTTGCATAGTAATCTCTAGTCACTTGATACGAAGAACAACATTCATAAATATTTTTATTCAACTTTGAGAGGAAAGAATTGCTCATCACTTGGTTCTTATTTTGCACTCCTTAAGCCATGTTCCTCCCACTTGTTCTTCCCAGAGCGGGGGGGGGGGGGCACATTGCTGTAGAGAAAGCAGATTCCAGCCAGTTTTGTCTCTGAACTGTGCTGAATTTTGCCACAATAATAATTACCTGGGCTTGGCTTTCTCTCTCTATAGCTGGTCGTCAACCTGAAAGCTTATCATTGTATTTAAGTACAATGACAATAAAGATTATAGTATACTATACTGACTGCATTTTGTGGCTACAATAGGCATTTGGGCTGCCCTACTGGGGGAGGCCATCGGGCTGGCTTGCCCCCTCCAAACCCCCTTTCCTTTAAAAAAAAAATTTATTCATTTCTCATTAAAATATTGGACACAGTGCACTATACATACTAACATAAGCTAGCATCTGTGGGATTATGCCTGAACTGCCGCCCCAAACTCCCTTTCCAATTGCAATAGCAACAACACTTAGACTTATATACCGCTTCACAGTGCTTTTACAGCCCTCTCGAAGGGGTTTGCAGAGTCACCATATTACCCCCAACAATCTGGGCCCTCGTTTTGCCGACCTCGGCTGAGTCAACCTTGATACAATATGTATTGCATCATTCAAAAGAATGCATCATGACAATCCCCAGTTCCTCCCAATAGGTTCCTCAAAGGCCGCTCTAGCTGGGGATTATGGGTGCTGAAGTCCAACTCCGTTGGAGTGCCCCGGATTTGGGGAAGCTCTGTCGACCAGGTGGCTGTTCACCGCGCCTCCTACTGAGGATCCCGTCCCCACCGCGTGGGAAAGCGGCCAGTTGGCTGGACCAAGAGCTGGACGTCGTCGCCCTTTTTTGTTCCCGCGGGGACGGGCGGGGCGGCCGGTCCTCGGAGGAGGCATCTCCGACGCGCACCGGCCACATCACCCGGCTGGTGGGGGGGGGGGGGGGTTCCCGGCTAGTCACGCCCCTCGCCCCCGCCGACTTTGGCCGCGCCTGCTCAGTGGGGGCGGAGGCCCGGAGGAGCTGTCAATAACTCCGCGGCCGCCGGGCAGGTTCCTTCTTCCTGTGCTGAGCGGGCAGCTTCTGGGCGCTGCGCCCGACGGAGGATGGCAAGCGGCGGCATCTGCTGCGAGAGGCTGGGGCCAGCCCCGCCGTCCCTGGCCAGGTAGGTCTGGGGAGCTGGAGATGGGCGCCAAGGCGGGAGCCGGAGGAGGGGATTCCCTGGCCTGGCGGGTCCCAGAAGGAAAGTAAGGCAGCAGTCGGGTTGCTCTTGGTTAGGAGGAAACGTGCCTTTCGCCTCCGTCACCTGGGCTGGGGCTTCCCCGGCTTCTTCTCTTCCTTTCGGCTCTCCCCGCCCACCCGATAAAAGCAAAAGGTGGCAGCTTTCAGCTACCCCCCCTTCCTTTCTCAGTTCCCACGGATGGCAGATGCACTGAGATATCCATCCCCACGAGGCTTGGGTGGGTAACCCTATCGTCTTGTATAAGATCCCTAGGATCCTAAAAAGTAGGTCACTTCCTTCCTCCAATAGTGTTGACTGGGTGGGTATCCGCCCACCCAACCCCAGATCCACTCTGTTGCCCTTTCTGCGCAGCTGGGGTCTTTGAAGGGGCAAGTTCTACAATTTATAAGCTTGAGTGTCTTAATGATATTGGTCATAGTAGTTTATGGTAGGGTTACACTAGGGTAATGTGATACCTTTGTCATTTTTGTTGCTTGGGGGTTGGAGAAGGAAAGCTCATGGAGGTGAACTTGGCTGATTCAAGGAAGTTCAGTAGAGAGCTCTTTAAAAGATTGTTGGCAAAGCCACAATTCAAGGCCATGCATACAGCTTGATGAAGGTCAATCTGTGTTTTTTTTTAATTTAGTAATTTTTTGTTATTGGCAAAAGGATGCCTTGGCTTAGCAATTTCTTGCTTATAAAAGATTAACGACTTGAAAGTATATGAAAGTCAGAAAAACAAGGAGAAGTTGGTTATTGCTTTAATGAAGCAGTAGGCAATAAACAATTGGTTTAAAAATAATTAACAGATGATGTTACTTATGGAGAAGAAACTAGAAACAGATTAGAGAGTAGAGATCATGGAGATCATAATGGAAACATCACAAAAAAGTACTGTGATGGTTTTCTGTGTACTTTATTCTCAGTTTTTACTTGAAGAATACATATCTGGGGGTTGTGCCCTTCATCACTGATTTGATTGCATGAAGTTATATCTGTCTGGCTTTAATCAGGTTATCAGTATTTGTCACAAACTATAAATTCTACACCACAAACATTTGCAATTCAAAACTCAAGATTTTCCACCCAACAGTTCTGGCATGTTGCCTGTTGTTAATCATTGAAGAATGGCTACCTGAGACAAGGGAAGAAATTTTCATCAACTTTATTTCTGAATAATGTGGGCTGAAATTCAATGTACAATATATTGTTTTAAAGGTTCAGTTTTAAAAACTGAAAGCCAGAGTGATAAAACATATTAAAGCTAAAATTTAAGGTTTAAGTTATTAAATGTTAATTTTCATTAGGTATTATTCTTTAAAAAATGGTTCCAGATATGAATAACAACCTCAGCAATATGGTACAGACTAGGCTTATGTCACTCTAAACTCTGTTTCTCAACTTTAGCCATTTTAAGTGTATGAACCTTAACTCTCAGAATTCTCCAGCCAGAACGAGTAATTCTAGGAGTTGAGATCCACACATCTTAAAGTTGCTGAGTTTGAGAAACACTGTTCTAAGGTATTATAATCTGTTATTTCAGCTAAATAAACTATCTTATTGTCATTTTGCATGGCAAAAATGTCGATCAGAAAGGTTGGCAGTTCGAATCCCTAGTGCCGGATAACAGAGTGAGCTCCCGTTACTTGTCCCAGCTTCTGCCAACCTAGCAGTTCGAAAGCAGGTAAAAATCAAGTAGAAAAATAGGGACCACCTTTGGTGGGAAGGTAACAGCGTTGCGTGGGCCTTTGGTGTTTAGTCATGCTGGCCACATGACCACGGAGATGTCTTTGGATCGTGCTGGCTCTTCGGCTTTGAAATGGAGATGAGCTCTGCCCCCTAGAGTCGCGAACGACTAGCACACATGTGCGAAGGGAACCTTTACCTTTATCTTAAGTAAAATGTAAGGCATGGGTGAATTTCTTCTGTTGTGCAGATCCAGTTCTTGCAAAGAAGGATAGTAATTCTGTCTTTTCATAACCACATAGAAGCTTCCAAATTTTGTATAATAGGTGTGTAAGTGATCCAGTTAGATACAAGTCAATGTGGGAATATGCTGATATTTCAGTAGTATCACACAAAACTGTAGGGAACAGGATTACAATTAATTAGGAATGAGATGATGAATGAGACCGTAATATTTTGGGAATGTAATCTGAAGCAGAGATAGGTAATCAGGACTTGATTAAAATGTATACTGATTACATTGGTAGATAATATTGTACAAAAGGCTCCTGAATATTTTGGATTTCTAATCTCACTTTAACATTTTGGGCAGCTGTGATTACTTCCTGTACTTTCTTGGCATTAAGAAGGATTACGAACCCTGCTAGATTTATACTTTATTTGGCAGAGAGAGGCCTTCAAAGTTATGAAAACACAGCAGAGCTTAATTTCAATGGTTTTTTGTTCCGTAGGTATCTGATCTTTGGCACCATCATTTAGCACAGTTTTATTTTAAGCAATAATTGCCTTTAATAGTATGGAAGTATAGCATTGGCATGGGAAACTTGCAGTTTGTGTTGGTGGAGAGAGAGAACAGAGTGGCATGAAACAGGTATAATCTATCAAAGCTAAAAGCTGCAACTACTTTTGGCTCTGGTTCTGTTTATCATTATATCTGATGTTATGCCCCAGAGCTGCAGTCCTACCCTTGGCAGGCTTTTCACAAAAGGATATTTTTTTTCAACCATCTTGAAAACAATTGAAAAGTTATGGAAATCCTGTTATTGCTTTGAGTTGCAACCAAAATATTTTAATATCTCCCGGATATTAGGAACAAAAAAAAATTTCTAGGGAAATTTTTTCCTCTGCTTATCCTATACTAATTGATTTGGCCACCTTTGTTGTAAAATAAAAGGGCAGCCAAACTATTTACATCAAGGTTATTAAGTTTAACTTTGGTTAAAAATTAGGGATCTTTATGGCATGGGCTTCAGGAAAGCATTATCCTAGCAACTTTAGTTCTTTTAGTATAAATTTGATCCTTTCAAGGATGCCGACATGTCTGTGAGCCCATTATAATCCCTACTTCGGAAACGTCTATTATTACTGCCTATTTTCTCGGTGGGATGCAGCAAAAAACTTTGGAAAGAAGAGCTAAACCTAAAAAGACAAAAAGGGATAAGTATAAGATGCTGTGGCCCTGGTTATGACCAGTATGCAGATGCTAAGATACTTTCTCTAAGGAGTAAATTTCCATTAATGAAAAATGGTTTCGCAAATCTCTTTTAGAGTGGCCCTAGTTGTGTCATTTTTTCTTATTTGTCTCTGTCAAAATGTTTACCTTTCCCAACTTTAAAATTCCTGCAAAGATAGGGAAAATAACTTCTGCTTGAGGCAAATTAGGCAGTTTATTTGCCCTGAGCTGCCAGATCATTAAAAAAAGTCAAAATCTGGATAAAGTTTTGGGTGTTGGCTACTTGTCAGGTGTTAGTTAAACATGTCTGCTTTTTACCAGTGCTTTTGTTCAGTCTTCTTGAATTCTATTGCATTTCATCTCTTTAGCTTAGTTTCTATTTCCCTGTAAGATGAAATGTTTAGCACACTTTGCATTAATGATTTTGTATGCAATATATATGGCTGTCCTGCAGATACTGGAGTTATTCAAAACTGCTTGTACATAACTGTTTGGGTACAATAGCTTCTCAAATTGCAGTTCCTGTAGTCTGATAAACCAAAATAACAAGCCATGTTTGACCGGGTTTAGGGCTAAAATATCAACTTTGATAAGCCATTGTTTTGCTCTTCTCCAGGGCTGCTACATCATCGAAATTTATGTCATTAAAACATTGGAAACCTATAACAGTCAGCATGATTTATTCAGTAGCTGGGAAGTTCATTCCATCCCACAATTTATGCAGTTGAAAATGTCAGCAATGGATTGGATTCAAAACTATGGTTTGATTTGATGTTTGAATTGATAATGTTAGAAGAGAGGTCCTTCAGATATATTGCTGTCTAAATTCTAGCATTCCTTACTGGACAATGTGAGTGGGGAGATGAAGTTTATGAACATCTGGAAAGAAAGAAAGATTATATTTCATATGTAGAGCTAATAAACAAATATACTCTGAGGAATTCCAGCAAGCAGGCTCAAAGAAAAGAACCTTATCTGAATCATGAGACCCTGTGCCCAGTCATTCATGCCTTCTTAGTGGATTACTTAGTAGATTACTGCAATGGGGCTACCCTTGAAGAGTATTTGGAAGCTACAGCTGGTATAGAATGCTGAATGCACACAGTTTTGGGTGGCACATGAACACAGCTATTGCGTGAGCTTCATTGGTTACCAGTTTGCTTCTGAGTCCAATTCAAGGTGTTGGTAATTACCTTGAAAGCCCTATATGGCATGAGTCCAGAGTACCTGACCCAATGGGACTAGCCTGCTCCACTCGCTCCAGTGGAAGAGGCCTAGTACAGACCCATATGCTAAGTAATTACAGCAGTGGGGTCAATGAGAAAAGCCTTTTCCACTGTGGTTCCGGCCCTTTGGAACTCGCTACAAGTGGACAGAAGAAGTGCCCTACGCTTTTGGCCTTCTGGAAACTGGCTTTGTTGGTTGGCCTGGTGCCACAAGGGGGGCACTCAGCATTGGAGATGGCTAATAGGGTAAGACGACCTCATGTCCACCTTGTCCATCTCTTAGTTCTGGTTGAAGTGTTAATCTGTGTAGTTTTAATGTTTTAATTATTTTTCTATTTGTTTTTATAAATTGTAAGCTATCCGTAATAACCTTATAAAGGGGAGATGTGTGGCATAAATATTAAAAAAACAAACAAACAAAGATATAAATAAATATTCAAGTTAGATATAATAATCTAGGTGGGAATGATGTGATCTGTATATGTTCATAAAATCAATGCAGTTTTTCAGATCAAGATCCAGATTCAGTCTCATTCTGCCACCCATCTCTCCATAATTTAACTTGCTGTGCAATTAACTTTATCATTGAGCAATTAAAAGCTACTACTGTAAAATAAAGTTCTTTAATACTTTAAAGTACTTTAAAGATCAAGAAATATTTTAGCAAATCAAAACAAAATGTTGCCTTATGAATCTGATAGTTCTGTACATCCCCTAACACTTTAGCAAGTAATTTTGTTGAAAATCCTGGTATTATGAATATGAAGCACCATATAAAACGAGAAACCATTATGCTCATAGGATGTACTTATTTGCTAATCTAGTAAACGCGTGAGCAGACTGCTAATCTGGCTAATCAAAATAGTTTATGATCTGACCCATGAGGCATACTTAATGCAGACAATGTAATTATCAGTAATCCAATTTGGCAGGGAGAGTAAAGAATTAACAGGATTACTAATCATATAAAGATCTGGCAGGAGTTTAAGTGAAATATAGTACACTCAGAAACAATAAAAATCATTGGATACTTCTAAAGTCTATATATACCTTGCAAGAGCAAGTCTAAACTTCAAATCTCATCGTTACAAATGTTACCCAATATTTGCTCTTTTACTCCTCCTCCTCCTCCTCCTCCTCCTCCTCCTCGTCTAAAAATGTATATTCTCATTGTCTGGTAGAAAGACAGACATAATAAAGTTCTGCAAGTTTACATCCTTCTGTCATTAGGCATAGCTTATTCTATAGAAGTTTAGAAAATTTACTTTAGTGTTAACATCACTAAATCAATGCAATATTATAGGATTCATCTGTATGTAACATTATGTAATTTTGTATATAATTAAAGATAGTTTATGCAAATACATAATTATTTCTAAAGACAATATAACTGTTTTGCTCTAAGAAAATGTTATTTCTAAATTATGAAGGATGCATAAGAACGATCTTCCTCATTATATATGGCAAGCATATCCAAGATATATTGTTTGTTTGTCAAATGAATCAATAAGACAAATCCTTTAAATGTAAAAAGATTTTCAATTGTTTCTTTCATTATGTATTACTTCTTTCATTATATTGGTGCCTGATCTCCGCTTAATTAAACATTACCTACTTCTGACTCCATAATTTGGCTTATATAAAGTATGTTAAGCATTAACAAAAGTTCTTAAGCTAGTAACTTTTAGTTTTTAATTAACAATGCAAAGGACGCTATTAAAAATATTACCATCTAAATTGCTAAAATGTACCTTCAAAGAAAATAAAAGGCATATTTGGTTTCTGATTGATTGTTTTTCTCATGCATTGGTTTATTTAATCACTATCAGTAATAAAATTAAGAGTATCCATATAATTCCATTCATTTGTTAGGGGATTTTCCAATACTTGGTGCATTGGCAGAAGATATTGTATTTTGAGCTATTAAAAAATGTGATGTCTTGCTTTGCAAAATGCTTGCCAAAATTATTTTATAACTTGAAACAAAGACTCAGTGTCACTGCCCTCTGCTTTATATCTGATTTGTGTGTCCTTTAGTAGGATTTTTTATGGTGGTGTTGGTGTGACATACAGAAATGATCCCTCATTGTGATTGAGGATTAAGGAGATTAAGGAGTTCATTGAAGGCACATTGAAAACTTCTTACTCTTACAACACAGGATCAATTTAACCAAGGTTTCAACTGGTAAACATCCTAGATGAAGATAAATCCAAAAAATGCTAGCATATTCCTAGAAGCTTGGTGTTTGGACTAATCAGCTATCAGTAGACACAGAGATAAATCACATTTACACACCATTCAAAATGGACAATTAAAAAAAGCTTAGAAAGAAACAAAAACAAAAAAACCTGAAGTATCTTCTCCAGCAGCAAAAACCTAGATAAACAGGGATTAACACTAGACAAACCAGCAGAAAACAATAACCTAATCAAGAAACTACAGCGGGAAAAAACAATACCCCCAACAACATTAATAGGGCAACCTATTGTATATAAATAGGAGTGAGCCCCATACTCAATTAATACTATAGATGCTTCCTAGTTGGATAATGAAACATCTGCAAGCAAACCACCAAGTTTAGAGAGCACCAAAGACTATTTAATTGAGTTTATATACAGTATTCACTGAAATCATCATTGTGTCTTTATATTTTCTACGTTGTACTTGTGTAGAGGATTTAGCAGTAATATAACTCAAGGATATAATTGTGTTGTTAGAATGCAAAAATATGATAAACCACTCAAAAGAAATTATCAAATATGAGAAATGGTAAAATTAATTTATTTTTGCTATATTGTTTTTCAGATTTAAACTGGGTTATGGAATTGTTCAAGACCAAAAAGACATAAAAAGAACACTTTCTACATAGTAGACAAAAAAGCACTTTCTTTGTTCCTGTATAACTATAAAATTTGTTGAGAGCTCTGAAGTGATTATCAAAACAATATTTCCAAAACAGTATGACTAATTGTAAAGGAAGATCTGTCAGCAAGAAAAGAAATGATAACGCCTATAGTGAAGGAGGATTTGTAAACTGGACTATAAATCTAAATGCAATTCAGTCTGACAAATTCTTGAACTTACTGTTGAGCATGGTTCCAATTGTTTATCACAAAACCCAAGAAGAGAGACATAAGAAAGGAAATAGTCTCTGGCAAGATGGATTGCAGCCATCAGGACACAATTTCAGTATTAGGACTGATCAACGCATGGATTATCATCACTTTTCAGAATCAGCCTATCATGGGAGTAATGGACACAATTCATCAAGCTGTAGCCCAAAGTATGATAACTTTGCAAGTTACAATTATTCAGATGGGACTGACTCTTCAGAAATGGATGCTATGCTGCAGGAGAACCATTTACCTAGCGACAATGATGAAACTTCTCCCATTGTGGAAGGAAGTAGAAAACAGCCCAAGGAATCCAGTAGCATTATGGCATTGCAGATACTTGTGCCATTCTTGCTAGCAGGATTCGGAACAGTGTCCGCAGGGATGGTTCTAGATATTGTTCAGGTAGGTATTTGCTTATCATATAGTACTGTAAACATGATGTTTCTGGACTAGGGTTTTAGATAGTGTCATCTTTATAACACTTCCATGGTTCCCCAGAATTTCTGCTCCCCCCCCCACTTGAGGAATAATTTGTGGAATAGCAGTACACTGGCAGAACTTTTGACCTCCTTCAAAATCTCTGGAGTTTTAATGCACATCGGTCAGGGTAGGGAAAAAACCTGTTTTTTTTCACAAGTTGATTGTTGTAATTTAAGTCTAATTAGTAAAAATAAAAACTGATTCAGGAAAACCCAGAGATACTTCTTGATGGATTTAATTGTGGCATTTTATATTTTTTAAAAATATATATACTAAGGATGAGGAGTGCCTTATTTATGATTATGTCCATGTTTTCAGGATGGGGTGATGTTGTGGTTTTTTTTTTTTAAACATGACTATATCCCCAGTTTCAGTAGCGGTACAGATTTTGAATCTCTCCAAGTTTTGATTAGATTTTAGACTTCTAGTTATGTTTATCCACAACTATCTACTGAGGGTGGGTGGGAGATTCATAGAATTCTAACATTGGGAGGGTTACTGAACTACTCTGTGCTGTTTCTGTTCAGTTCAGATATTGAAGCTAAAATATTCTAGACAGATGGTTGCCATCCTGTGAAGAGAGGTCATCTCTTTTCTTGATAAATAATTTTACACTAAAATGCTTTTATTATTAGATATTTCCTTAACATTCAATTAGAATGTCCCCCCCCATGCCTTATGTCTCCCTATAACTTAAGGGGGGGGGGCATGGTGGATCAGCGATTAAGACACTGGGCTTGTTGGCTAGAAAGCCAGCAGCCCAGGTTCGAGATCTGAGCTCCACGCATCGGGGTGAACTCCTGTCCTCACCCCAGCTCCTGTCAACCTAGCAGTTCAAAAGCATGCAAAGGCAAATAGATAAATAGGTACCACTTTGGTGGAAAGGCAACAGTGCTCCGTGATGTCATGCTGGCCACATGACCATGGAAATAGCTTCGGACAGTGCTGGCTTAATGGCTTTGAAACAGAGATGAGCACTGCCCCTTTAGTTGGCAATGACTAGCAGAATAACCTCATCCCCATAACTTAAATTCATTATTCATTATGTCTCTAATAAATAGCACAGAATAGCTTTTCTTATGCGTGACATCCTGTTAGATGTTGAAGTTGCTCTCATAACTTCCCACAGTCTTTTCTTTGCAAAACTGAGCACTTCCTATTTGGTGCCTGTCTTTATAATAGTTTTAAGTCTTCATTCCTTAATCATCTTTGTTATCCTTCTCCAAATCTGTTTTTTTCAGACTTGACAAGCAGTCTAACAGGCTGCTCGGTTTATCTGAATTATTCTAAAATAGGGTTTCTGTTAAGTATTATTCACTTTATTTTTTAAATAATGTTGGAATGGCTGGTCTATAGGGATAACATTTACTTTCTACAAGGCAGTTGGCATTTCACCCATCTCCAGACATTTTCTTAAAGATAATGTTTAAAAGTTCACTAGCCCACTAGCATGCTATTTTAGTATTCCACGATGCAATTTATTCTACTCTAGACAATTGCTTGGTGGAGCACGCACTTGTTAGAGACATTGGGTCCAAGAGCTGTCCTTTCTTTGATTTTTGCCATCTACCCTTGGCAGAAGGTTTCCTGCTTTTTTATTTTTATATTTTATATTTTTTAAACCAGTATTTACTGTTGTTCTTAACATCCTTCAGCAATCTAGGTTAATTCTGAGTTTTGGTTTTCCTGTCACTATTATAATAATTCTGGGCTATTTGTACTCTTTTCCCCCCCTTTTTTTTGGCAGACTGTCCCTGTTTCATTTATTTTCAGATTTTACTATGGCTACACTAAACTCTTTGTGTAGCCATATTTGTTGTTTTCTGTTTTCTTCCATGCTTTATTCTTACTGGAGTGATTTATAATTGTGCTTTTAGTATCTCTCTTTTTAGAAAATTTTATCCATATTGATCCAAATATTTCATATTAATTTCCCCTGCCACAGAATTTTCATTGAGTTTATTAAAATCTGAAAGGTCCAAAATATCTGTGTAACTACTGGTACATTCAGAGGTGGTATTTCTACCGGTTCGGACCGGTTCACCTGAATCGATAGCAGAAATTGCGGGTGGCCCTGCTCACCCGCCCCGGCTCTATGGCATCCCATTTAGTCCTTTTTTGCCAAAAGCGCTTTTGCAGAAGGCTCAGCACATGCATGCATGCTCACATTTGCAAACTGGAAGGGAAGGTAAGTGAATATTGCCCCTCGGTACATTCAATTTTACTTTCCCAAGAAATCAAGAATTCCAGTATTATGGTATCACTTTCCAGCAAAATTCCTCTTCTTTCCGTCTTCTTGATTAATTCTCCTCCATTGGTTCATACCAAATCAAGAATAGCTGGTATTGGCTGGACCTTCCTTCATCGTCTGGAGAAGAAAGTTATCAATAAGGCAAACAGAAATTTCCAGGAAATACAGTGCTTGACAGAGTCTAAGTCCCCTCTTCATCTTTTTATGTTTGTTAGGGGGGAAAAAATCAGTTTTAGAAATCATCATCCATATATTATCCTTAATTGGGCAAGCAATTGTAAATATTAACAGTGTCAGTACTGTTTTTTATTAATTCTCCACCTAATTTAATACAAAGGCCCAACTATTGCCAAATGATTTTCGTTGGATACGAGCAGCTGCAGTTGTAGTTTTTCTATATTATATCATAGAAAGTGATAATTTCCACTGGAATTGGAAAATACAGAAACTATTTTGTCACATTGCTAGAAGACAGTATGCTTCCTTGAGCTGATGGGTTGACGCAGATTTGTTTTGGTTCCTCATTAGTAATGAATCATTAACTTCCAGAATACTCATATCTTTGCAGAGTCCAAGAAAAAAACAAATTGTCCTGCCCTTCAAGAAATCATTATCTTGTGTCCTGATCTGTGTCTCCCTTTCTTTCCCTGAAGGTTTAGTCTTGTTATTATCATTTTTTGCAAGGGCCTGAAACTGTTTCTGAATTCCAGAGGTACATATTATTTTCTGCGTCACATATATTTGCCACTCTTGACCTTTTCAAGTTTGCTTGATTTTATCTTAAGGAGAATTGCTCCCTGTTTCAGTTTTTATTGTATTGCCTACTTTTCCCCCCTGATAAATCTTCATCTTTTCTCATCAATAGAGAAGCCGTAGAAGTTGGCCACTACTTAATTCTAATTATCAGGTCTTCTACTTTTTTTCTTTCCTCTGCTTACTGCAAATCTATGGCATTTTTCTGTTCTACGTGAGGAGCATAAAAATGTAACAGGTATTGCAGGAAATAGCTGTTGAGCCCCGCCTATTCATACTCATGTTTATCTTGTGAAATACCACTAATAAAAAGCTTTTGTTTTTTGTTTGGTTAACCAAGTGTGTCTGCCATAAATTTGTAACAGAACCTGTCAGATCCCCTTTCCTAGAATGTCCACCCTCTCTTCCCCCTCTACCTGAGTTCCAGTTCCAGTCTTGTAGCTTTTTCTCCATGTGAAAGAGTTCATCTAGGTAGGTTGTGATGCCGCCGTCAGCTATTATAGAATAGGGAGACGGTCCCCCTTTCATCCAGGTGACAGAAAAGAAAAGAGGAGATATTCCTCCCCCAATAAGTAAGGTATCATTAAATATCTCCTTTTAAGTTCCAGTTATCAAATCCAAACGGTTTTGGAAAGCATGGTGTTAGTACTATGAATCCAACACAGGAGTAGCAATAGGTTGACTATTTCATTTTATTTGTATTCTAAAATGAAAATCAGTAATATAAGATTATTCACTTCTGTCCGCCATTAGTTCCAGAAATAAAAAGGCCTCATATTTTGTAAAGCCGCTAACCATTAGTCGGTAAGAAAAGTTTAACAATGTAACAACTTAGCTTGGTCAATATAGCTTGTATTGACCAAGCTATATTGTATTGACCACATATAACAATAAATAACAATATTTATCATTGTTTAATAGCATTGGGAAGTGTTCAGAAACATTACTGAAGTTTTCATCTTGGTCCCTGCATTACTTGGCTTGAAGGGTAACCTGGAAATGACTCTGGCATCTCGACTATCCACAGCAGTAAGTTTGGGTAACATTTTGGGGTTGATAATCAACTATTTCTTTAGGAATGGTTGCATTTGTAGAAATTTATCCTTCTGACTTCTACCTCATATAGTAGAACTTTTTAGTAAATTTTTGTCTAAGGGCAGGTAATGTGGTACGGCCATTCAAAGTTAGGTTGGTCATGAATTGGGTGCTTTATGTCCTGTTGTAAATGGACGTGTCCTACACCCCTGGTTATGTGATTGCATGTCAGTCAGGTCAGCTATATGATTGATCGTGGTATTCTACATTCACGTGACTGCAATCAAGTTTATGGTAAAAAAAAAAGCCCTTTAATGAATTAGTTTGCTTAATGACTGCTGCATTTGGTTAATAACTGCAATGTTTGCTTGATGACTGCCATGAAAAAAGGCCAAACAATTACTTCCGGTCACATGGGTGCCTTGATTTATGACTGCAAGGACTTATGACCGTAATTCCGGGTTCAGCCCAAGGTATGCTCATTGTTGCCATTTTTGCCTTGCATAGAAGCCCTCAGCTAGCCCTCCCTGCTGAAAAAGCTTGATGACATTTGGAAAAGAGGCTTTTACAAAAAAAATGAATGTTTAGTTCTTTAAAGTAATGATAAGGAAAGTGCTTTAAGGTTTTTCCATTGTTAAAACACTTTATTGCTTTTCATAGGTAAACGTTGGGAAAATGGATTCCCCCATTGAGAAGTGGAATCTAATAATTGGTAATTTGGCTTTAAAACAGGTAAGGTCATTAAAAGAAATCATTACAACTCCGTTTCTATTCATTTTGGAGAAGTAGTATAAGAAAAATCTCTCTCTGATTAATTAATCCAGTGCTGGTTCCTCCCGCAGTTGTGACTCCTGATTTGCTTCTGTGCCTATAGCTGATGCTAGGGATCTCACTGTGCGGTTGAAATCTGGGGAAGTTCCTGGAGATAATTTCATTCCTCGAGAGTTGGTAAAAGATAATAAAGATTGGTGGAGACCCAATTGACTTTTTTAAAAAAATCTTATTTTAAGTAAATAATATAAGCACCTTTTTTATCTGAGCGAATGAGGTCATAGCTATCTCGCTCTATAAGAATACAGGAAATAGATTTAACCCTGCCAACTATAGACCAAAGAGCTTGATTAAATACAATAAGCAACTATATAAGGGAAGTAAAAGGTAAAGATTCTCCTGCACATGTACGCTAGTCATTTCCAGTTCTAGGGGTTGGTGCTCATCTCCGTTTCAAAGCCAAAGAGCCAGTGCTGTCCAAACACTTCTCCATGGTCATGTGGCTTGATTAAACGCCGAGGGCACACGGAGTGCTGCCAGTTCTAACTTCTTCTATAGAAGAGGTTCCACAAATCTACAGTGCCACTTAGAACCGGTTCCAGCTTCCTCCCCCCGTCCATCCAAACATCATCAAGATGAAGAGCAAGAGGAGGAATTCTGGGAGTTGAAGTCCACAAGTCTTAAAGCTGTCAAGTTTGAACACCCTGGGTTTTTTTTCTAAAGGGTTAGGGGTGCAAGGGTTTTGTATCTTGACAGCTTTAAGACTAGCGTGCTTCAAATACCAGAGTTTCTGAGCCAACATTTTGGTTGATAAGCAAGAGCGTTGTTAAGTGAGTTTCACCACATTTTAGAAGTTGACCATGCCCACCCAGTCACATGACTGCCAAGCCACTCCCACTTGGCCACATGACTGTCAAGCCACTGCCACTCAGTCACATGGCCGGCAAGCCACTCCCACAAAGCAGACCCCATCTACAGAAGAGGTTCTAAAAATTTTTGAAACCCACCACTGGCTGTTACCTTCCCACCAAAGGTGATTCCTATTTTTCTATTTGAATTTTTTTACATGTTTTTGAACTGCTAGGTTGGCAGAAGCTGTGACAAGTAACTGGAGCTCATCCTGTTACGCGGCGCTAGGGATTCAAACCGCTGAACTGCCAGTCTTCTGATCGACAAGCTCAGACTCTTAGCCACCGAGCCATCGCGTCCCTTATATGGGAAGCATCTTCATTTAAAACTGTTGGATTGGATTGAAAGTGAAAATATTCACATTGAGGAATAAACAGGATTTAGAGGAGGCTGTTCAACCTTAGACAACTGGTCTTGCACCATTTTAACCCAAAGGCACTCTTTTTACAGCCTTTGTGGGTTTCAAATCTGCTTTTGATCTGATTCCAAGTAAGAGGCCATGGCAAAAACTTCAGGTATCTTCAATGGTTTAAAAAAACTGCTCCTCCTTATTCAAACACATTATTCTAAAACATCTCATTGAGAGTGAGATATTCCCATTAACAGCACCTATCTGATGCAATTTCTATTAAAAAATATAATAAGGCAAGGTATTCTAGGCTCCCCATTTTAATATGGACACCCGTTCAATAATTAAAGCTCTCTATCATTAATCATCATTCCCCAATGTTAGCAGATTGTGCAATTCCCAGTTTGCCACATTCTGAGAACATTTTATCAGTTTTCCAGGTGGTAGTGAGGGTGGCATTGACGGCACTGGCTTCTTTTGCCTTAAAGAACAACTTACCAAATTACAAAAAAACAAAAAACAAAACCTTGATTGCTAGTGTTTGTATGACACAACAGTAGGTTAGATAAATGGCAAAGGAATGGAGAGCAGGCATGTATTTATAAATACCCCATTTCCCCGAAAATAAGACCTCCCCTGATAATAAGCCCAGTCAGGCTTTTGAGCACATGTGCTAAAATAAGCCGTTCCCCCAAAATATTGCAACACAGCAGCAGCCATGAGGTGACCACGCTTGTCGCCTCCTGCACCTCAAAAATAATAAGAGCTCCCCAACAATAAGGCCAAGTGCTTATTTGGGAGGTGAAAATAAAATAAAAGCAATTCTACGCTTAATTTGGGCACACATTTCTCTTATCAAGCAAGTTAGCCAAGTATAGCTAGATCTACAGCTGTCTTAAGAGTCTTCTGTTCAAACCAGGGACATTTCATTCCTGCAGCTAGCAAAGTTTTTCTTGCTAAGATCATCTGTCAGCTTCTTCATGGTGTACGGATTTGCATTTTGTACAAAGTTTAATAGCTTGGAAGCAGTCCAGTCCAAATTTATAAAAGCCATGCTTGCAATTCCAAATGCATCTCTGAATCTTAGTATGGTTTCTATGGCTCCCAGAACCTGGTTCTACTGCTTGAGTTTTGGGATAAAATTCATGTTTTCTCTTTTGGGTCTGGGTCCACTGGTTCTCAGGGACCGTTTTACATCAACCTGGCTAACAAAAACTAATAGTAAACTGCAGACCCTAGATTTCTCTTTGGAAACTTTTCATTGGGGGTTTGCATCTGAAATGTTAATGCTAGTTTAAATACAGTATCCAGCCCCACAAATTATGGATTATTCTTATTGGGGCATGAATCAACATTTTGTCTTCTCTTCGTTTCTAATTCTGAAATTTCATGGGGGTTTTACTTTGACTAAAGGACATGGTGGCTCAGTGGCTAAGATGCTGAGAGGTTGGCGATCAGAAAGGTTAGCAGGTCAGCAGTTCGAATCCCTAGCACTGCATAACGGAGTGAGCTCCCGTTACTTGTCCCAGCTTCTGCCAACCTAGCAGTTCGTAAGCACATAAGAAAATGCAAGTAGAAAAATAGGGACCACTTTGGTGAGAAGATAACAGTGCTCCGTGAGCCTTCGGCGTTTAGTCATGCTGGCCACATGACCACAGAGACGTGTTTGGACAGCGCTGGCTCTTTGGCTTTGAAATGGAGATGTGCACCGCCCCTAGAGCCAGAAACGACTAGCATGCATGAGTGGGGGAACATTTACCTTCACCTGTCTTTAACCAGGCAGGATGTACTACTGTCTTCAATTTTGTTAAAGAGATATAAAAACATTCCTTTTCAGCTCTGCTTATGCCCATGTGGAGATGTTTCTATGCAATCCATAAAACTATATCCTTTTTTTATTATGCTCTCTAAAAGGATTCTTGGGAGACATAGTTTTATCCCATTTTAAAGAATTATTCTGGTAGAGATCATGATATCTTTCTGTCAAGTGCTTTTATCTGAGCAGGAACCTGCTATCTCTTTCCAGGTTGCCTGATTTTGTTCTAACGTGTTATTTGCATCTTTGTTGCAGATGTGGTTTGGCACAAATTTTTATGATTGCCACTGCTACCTGTATTGCAGTTATTATAATAACATGTAATTTTATTGCATTTTTAAAAAGTAATCATTACAGGTTTATGAATTTTATTGTGTGACAGTAATAAGGGTGTGGTGATGATGATGGTAGATTTGCAGAAAATGCTGACATTTGATGATAGTGCTATAAACGCTAAATGTAATAAGGGAAAGGTGAGCCAATATTCCTGATTGTCTGTTAAAACAGAGAGTACACCATTTTCAACATTTTCAACAATTACATCGCAACATATATTTTAACCATTGCATCAATATGTGGTAACTCAGGTGGCAGAAATGGTAAATCATCCCGAGTATTTTGGATACAGTGAATTGGATCTATTAAATGCACATGCTGCCAAGTTTGTCCATCGTATCTGAAGTCCATTAAATCTCCATTTAGTAGACCAAGAATTCATTGCATTGATAGTTGCTTAATTTACTGAGTACTACTCTCAATTTTATAGAGAATTGTATATAAACTCCATTGTGTTTATAGGGAAGCATACCTTTTCTCATGTTAAATATTTATTGTTATTTTGTAGGTACAAGCAACAGTGGTTGGTTTTTTGGCAGCTGTGGCAGCAGCCATATTGGGTTGGATTCCCGAAGGGAAATACCATTTTGATCACTCGATTCTTTTGTGTTCTAGCAGTGTAGCGACAGCCTTCATAGCATCACTTTTACAGGGTAAAATATATATATATATATAATATTTTAAGTGTAAATACCTTTAATTTTAACATTATTAATATTATGCAATTTAAAGAAAGAGCAAGGTTAAGTTCACTAGACTGTTGTCTAATGGTTGGTAGCATATGGTAGATGGCTCCTTCCTTAAGTACAAATAAACAAATAACAGTTGTATTTTGAATTTATAATATTTATTTATTACTTTCATTCATAGTCCTTTGTTTCCATTTGGCCACATTTGTCATTGAATCTATATACTATAACTATATACTATACTATAACTCTTGCCAACTGCAAAACATAAATCTTTTTTAATTAACAGAAACATTTTAATTTAATCTGAGCCTGCCAGAACTTTCAAATTATTTCCCTCTTTGGCTAGTAAATTATTTTTTATTATTGAACTGTCTTGTTTTATTGACATATTATCATTATCATCAGAGTCTGTTGCAGTAACCAACTGTCATAAATTAATACCTATAATAAGTATTATTGTTACATGGACGATAGGCCCATACGTGAATGAATATACAATCTAAATTTCAATATAAGAATATCAGCAGAAAAGGAAAAGTCTTTCAGAACGGAAAATCTGGTTGAAGAATATAAATGTATTTCTATTATAGAAATTTAGAGCTTATTTAAAACAATGGAGAATTAATAGTTTCTTAGCACACTAGTGGTAAATGAAGTACTATAATTTAGTCATTCTTTTCTGAGGTATTTTCATAACTAGTCTAAATTATCTTTTTAATGGTTTTGCTATAAACATATTTAATGGCATTAACACTATAATTGCTTTGATTAAGAAGTGACACTATAAATTTGTGAATGGTTAGTTAAAAACACAATACCTTGACATTTGAATTAACAGTACATATAGTTAAATATAGTGCAAATTGTCTCTGTCCAAAGCAGAGACAAGTTTCAGTGGAATCTTTGTTTAACAACTTTAACAATTGTGGGTTTCATCCAGAAGTGATATTTAGCAGATTCGGACCAGTTCTAGATAACCGGTAATGGAAATTTTGAGTAATTAAAAAAACCGGTAAATACCACCTCTGACCCATCTATTCTCTGCCTCCCAAATCCCAGCTGATCGGGAGGGAATGGGGATTTTGCAGTACCCTTCCCCTGCCAGGCCCACCAAGCCACGCCATGCCACGCTCTCCAATCCATGCCACGCTCACCAAGTCACGCCATACCCACCAAGCCACGCCCACAGAACCGGTATTAAAAATTTTTGAATCCCACCACTGGTTTCATCTGTACTACCTCTGAAATAATTAATAAAGCATGGCATGAAGCAATTTTTCATAACATGTAAATTTTTAAACATAGTAAAAGACCAAGTTGGTAATAAAATAGCCTGTAATTGAATTTAGAAATAAAAGACATTTTATCTGAAGTTTTCGTATATAGAGTTTACAGCATAAGATTGACCCACTTTCTATTACCATGGTTTTAGGCATAATAATGGTTGGTGTTATTGTTGGCTCTAAGAAGACTGGCATAAACCCTGACAATGTTGCCACCCCTATTGCAGCCAGCTTTGGAGATCTAATCACGCTTGCCATTTTGGCATGGATAAGTCAGGGTTTATATGATTGCCTTGGTAAGTGTTCTTTCTTTGTAAGAACTAATTCGCCAGTTTGAAGTATCTTAGCTCCCAGCCCTAACCTTTTGAACCTATTTCCTTTGAGTAATATTTTGACAGGGAAACTTTTAAAAGGAGAGTTTGCTTACTTGAAACTAAGTGTGTTTCCAGATATCTCAGATACATCGGCATGACATTAAACTGAATTAATTTTTATATTGTTAATAAGAAAATAAAAATAAAAATGAAGAAATGTTTGGATATCACAGGGATTATAAACAAAAGACTTAGGAAAGAACAAGACAGGGTGATTGAACAGTGTTGAAAGTACAGGTGTAAGTCCTTGATTTACAACCAAATCACTTAGTGACCTTTTGAAGTTACAACAGTGCTAAGACCATTTTTCACACTTATGACCATTGGGGCATCGCCATGGCCATGGGATTTATATTCAAATGCTTGACAACTGACTCACATTTATTTATGACATCTGCAGTGTCCCGGGGTCATGCGACCACCTTTTGCTGAACAAAGTCAATGGGGAAGCCAGATTCACTTAACAACCGTGTTACTAATTTAACAACTGCAGCGATTCACTTAACAAATGTGTTGTAAAATGGGGGCAAAAGTCGTAAAATGGGGGCAAAGCTCACTTAACAAATTTCTCACTTAGCAACATAAATTTGGGGCTCAGTTGTGGTCCTAAGTTGAAGACTACCTATATTCTGTTCAATTGTTTTTTATACTACAGATAGTTCTCAACTTACAACCATTCGTTTCGTGACTGGTCAAAGTTGCAACAGCACTGAAAAAAGCGACTTATAATTGTTTTTCACACTTACGACCTTTGCAGCATCTCCCTTAGTCACGTGATCAAAATTCAGATGCTTAGCAACTGTCTCATATTTATGATGGATACAGTGTCCCGGGGTCATGTGATCACCTTTTGTGACCTTATGACAAGCAAAGTCAATGAGAAGCCAGGTTCACTTAGCCGTGTTACTGATTTAACAACTGCAGGGATTCACATAACAATTGTGGCAAGAAAGTTCATAAAACGCTCACTTAAGAACCGTCTTGCTTTAGCAATGGAAATTTTGGACTCAGTGGTGGTTGTAAGTTGAGGACTACCTGTGTTCTGTTTTAATATCCTTTGAAAGCACTAGAGGGTGCTGTTGGATTGCAGATTGAATGTCTTGAGAAACCTTTTGTAGATAGTAACTCATTAAATGCACCTAAGATTAAAATGTAGACACTGGATGCATTTAATATTTTTACTTGTAATTGTTTTAGTGTAAATACTTCTGGAAAAAAAGTGCTCTAAATATCAATGATCAGACATGCCGTTGCATTGTTGTTTTTATTTAGTTGCATTCTGGTTATTTGGAAATTTATTGTTTTGTGCACCTCCTAGGGTTGTTACAATACAGGCAAATTATGTCTTTTAAAAGGAATAAACAATGGTAACTATTTTCACTGTCAGTTATAATTACCGATACAAACTTTTGGTAGAACCTTTCTTGAGTTTTCTACTTTCTAATCTAGATTACAGCCCTTTAAGCATCCTAGGTACTAATTAGGCCCAGCCCTTTCAGCTCTAAATAAAGTTAGCTGAATACTATCACCTTCTGAAATAATCATATGGTGAATCCTACTACGGAAATAGTAGAAAGTGTTATTAACAAAAGAACTCTAGAACCCGTAATCATTGTGAATTTTCAGTAAGAGTTCAAGCTAAAAACCTGGTGATAAGATCAAACTGGTGTGCTCAATTACCTTTCTTTGTTCCTTTAACAATCCGCTTTTTTTAACAGTTACCTTGATCTTGTCATAGTTATTCAGGCATAAAATAGTGATTCTAATCAGGAGATATATGTAAGCCTTATTAATAACAAAGCATATTATAATTAATAACTTTATTTGTAATGGAGGAGAATTGCAAGAAAAGTTTCAATCTGAAATAAGATACTCATAAAAACTAGCAACTAATTTCCTCAGAATTTTATAATAACGCCTAACATTTTGTTTTAATTCTAGAGAGCTATTATTATATATCACCGTTAGTTGGTGCCTTTTTCTTGGCTCTGACTCCTATGTGGATTATAATTGCTGCTAAGCATCCAGCTACAAGGACAGTCCTCCATTCCGGGTGGGAGCCTGTTATAACTGCAATGGTCATTAGCAGGTAAGGAGTTTTAATGACATTTAGAAAATGTTTAACAAGGATCCAAACCAAATAAAGTAAGATGCTGGGAAGGTGTACACACAATTACATTAGCTGATTTTTTTAAAGCATAGAATAGAAGTCACATCTCCAACACACACACACACAAACACACGTGTGTGTGCGTGTGTGTTGGAGAAGATGTGCCTTCTATTCTATGCTTTAAAAAATCAGCTTATGTAATTGTGTATGCCTTAGACTTACATTCTTCTCCATAGTGCCCTCTTAGACACTTAGACTTACATTCCGCTCCCTAGTGCTTTACAGCCCTCTCTAAGCAGTTTACTGACTCAGCATATTGCGCCCCGCAATCTGGACCCTCATTTTACCGACTTTGGAAGGATGGAAAGCTGAGTCAACCTGAGCCAGTCCTGGCTATGGGTAGAGAACACTTCATTTTAACCAATGTGTCACCAAAGCTCTAGAAATGTTGCCTTTAAATTAGAAATTGCATTTTCTAATTTAATAGAGAGAAAATTATTAATTGCAGGAAAATAATGTTAAATAAATGTATGTTAAACCTTGGACATTGTCCTGTCTCCAGTCATGTCTTTGGTACCCAACTATGTCTTAGAGTGCAATTCCTACCCTGTTCGTTAAAAAACAGAGGCATCCCTTAGTCCCCCCACCCACCCCTAAATAGCAATTGCACTTAGACTTATATACTGCTTCATAGTGCTTTACAGCCCTCTGTAAGCTAGTTACAGAGTCAGCAAATTGTCCCCAATAATCTGAGTCTTCATTTTACCAACCTTGAAAGGATTGAAGGCTGAGTCGACCTTGGGCCGGTGAAAATCGAACTGCTGGCAGTTAGCAGAATTAGCCTTCAACACTGTATTCTAACTACTACGCCATCATAGCTCAAAGTTGATTTGTGACATTTATTTAATTAAACACCCTATGCAATTCCATACAAATGACTATCCAGGGTCTTCTTGGAAGCCTCCATTGATGGAGCACCCAGAAATTCTGAAGGCAAGCTATTCCACTGGTTAATTGTTGTCACTCAGGAAATTTCTTCTTAGTTCTAGGCTGGATCTCTGTTTAATGATTACTCCCAGTCCTGCTTTTAGGTCCTTTGTATAATAACTCAACGCCTTCTTTGGGACAGTACCTCACATACAGGAAAATTGCTATCATGTTACCACTAGTCCTTCTCTTCATTAGATTAGCCATTCCTAGTTCCCTCAATCATCAATGGAATGTTTCAATGTCAAAATGTTTTACATACCCCTTAAAAATAACAAGCTGTCCCAAATGAAGGCACCCTAGGTACAATATTAAGATGCCGTTAACTGGAGTGAGAGGAAATGATTCTTTTGGATTTAAGATGTATGAGGCTTTAAAAGTGAATTTGATCGTAAGCGGACTTCTGCCGGCACAAACTTACATTTTATCCATCTAGATTCAATAGACTTCAGTGTGGTTAATTTTTAAATTTATAAAAATTTATATTTTATTTATTGCTATGTACTTATCTGAAAGATAAAAGCAAGTACTAGATGGTGTTTTCTGTTGGCAGAAGTAGATTTTTACAATAAAACATATGTAAATGTTTTATTTATTTATTTATTAAATTTGCTTACCATCCATCTTACCGCAATATCTATAGTATGTTCAAACTCAACTTTTCTAGTACAGTTCAATGTTTTATAGGTTATGTTAAGAATATTTCCTGGTATTATTAGATTGATTCTTAGAAACAATATAGCAAAATGTGTAACAGATATACGTAGCTTCCAAATTATTTCTGTTTTGTTTATTAAGCCATAATATTGTTCAAAATATTTAAATAGTTTTTACAGTCTGACTAGCCCTGTCTGAAATTTTAATTTTCTTTTTCAGTATTGGTGGCCTTATTCTGGATACAACTGTATCTGATCCTAATTTGGTTGGGATTGTTGTTTATACTCCAGTAATCAATGGTAAGGGAGACGTGGAATTTCTTAAAATTGCTGTGGTTCACTGCATGCTCATTAGGTAAAAAAAATATTCCAGACCAAATCGAGACATAAGTGGGTGGGTATGTACTACTGTAAAGTCACACTGTAATTTTAGAGTAAAAACAGTTCCTGGTTTCTGTTGTGAAAAGATAAATATACATTCATAAGATCAGATGGGGATAAAAAAAATATACTTTTAAACCTCATATAGTTTATATATTTAGATCCCAGATACATATTTTAAAACATTGTCTTAGACATTTCTATGTACTGTTATATAAAGATTTCTGTAAACATTATACAGATACATACAAACACAAATACACAGATACCGGTAGTAATAACTCTGTTTGTAACGTTGTAATAATCAGTATGGATGCCTAAGTAGTTATATTTCAGTGCATAGATTTCTTTCTATATAGTTTGAATTTCCACATATATTCGTTAGTATGAGAAAATTGTTTTAGAGTTAGCAAAATTCATCTAGCCATCCATGTTAATCAAATTAGTGTGGGTGGCTAACGTGTTTACAAACAAAATATACATATAAGCATAGTAAACATAATAATAAAATATACTAGGTAAAAATAATCATGCTGTCTACCAGCAAAGCAAAACATCCAAATTAATACTCTGGTCCCAAAGTCTGAGGGAAGAACCACGTTTTTAAGAGCTTCCAACAGGCCAACTTTGGGAGGGGGGCTTGGGGTTGGTGGGTGTGCACATGCATGCCCACACAATCATAAAAATAGTAGATACAACAATCACCAAAAACATTTTATATCAGGAATGTCAACCTGGCGGCCTGTGGGCTGGATATGTCATGTGCAGACCACGCCCACCCCAGCTCTGCAAAGGGGAAAAATGTCACGAAACATCACATGACAGCAACGTGATGCGACGAGTTTGACACCCGTATTTTATATCATATGAAATTACAATTTTCATAGCCTGGACCAGCAATCATATTCCCTAAATAACATCAGCATTAGTTCCCTACTTTTAGCATATTAGACAAATATCTGTTTTATAAATACAATGCATTCTTAAGTTGATTCCCTTGATTTAGTTTCCGTCTTCCACATAGCTCCCACTATACTTTGATCCATAAATATGCTGGAAACAGTAATAAGATGTTGGCTAATACAGGTAATCCTCGACTTATGACTGCAATTGTGACCAAATTTCTATATTTAAGCAAAGTGGTGTTGAAGTGAGCTTTGTCCAGTTTTATGATCTTTTTTGCTATAGTTGTTAAACAAATCATGGCAGTTATTAAGTGAATCACATGGCCATTAAGCAAATTCAGCTTCCCCCATTATTAACTTTGCTTGTAGGACCCGGCTGAGAAAGTCACAAATAGTGAACAAGTGACCCTGGGACATTGCCACTGTCATAAATACATGCCAATTGCCAAGGGCTCAAATGTTGATTATATGACCGTGGGCATGCTGCAACAATCAGAAAGCTGAGGATTGGTCAAAAGTCATATTTTTCAGTGCCATTATAATTTCAAATTGTTGCTAAACAAATGATTGTCAGTCAAGGACTACCTGAAATCACAAAGCAATAAGACACAGTTATTCATTGTGTATGGCAGCAAAGGAATGTGGTGGCTCGGTGGCTAAGACGCTGAGCATGTTGATCAGAAAGGTTGGCAGTTCAGTGGTTTGAATCCCTAGCGCAAAAACAGAGTAAGCTCCCGTTACTTGTCCCAACTTGTGCCAACCTAGCAGTTCGAAAGTATGTAAAAAAGCAAGTAGAAAAAATGGGGACCACCTTTGGTGGGAAGGTAACAGCGTTCTGTGTGCATTTAGTCATGCCACGTGACCACGGAGAAGTCTTCAGACAGTGCTGGCTCTTTGGCTTTGAAACAGAGATGAGCACCGCCCCCTAGAGTCGGGAATGACTAGCACATATGTGCGAGGGGAACTTTTATCTTTACCTTATGGCAACAATAAAACTTTAGGTAACGAGACACACAAAAAAAGTGTGAGATCTATTTCTTAGCCTTATTGTGTAATCATGAATAAACAATGGTATTTTTCCTGCCTGTTCTCTATAGGGATTGGTGGTAATCTAGTAGCAATTCAAGCCAGCAGAATTTCGACTTATTTACATTTACATAGTGTTCCTGGAGAATTACCAGAAGAAGCCAAAGGCTGCTGTTATCCATGCAGAACATTTTGTGGCACAGGTACAAGCTGTGTTACCTTTTCTTTACGTTCTGATTTTTCTCTCCCAGATGTTATTTATAATACTTTAAGAAAATATTATGATTAAAGATATTGGTAGGTAAGCCGTATTTCATTTTTGAAGGTTTACAGATTACATTGTACATAGCACATTCCTCTATTAGAATCAAGTGCAGCATTCAAACAAAAGCATTGAATAAATGCCTCTATTTCATTTTTCCTATATGCAGCTTGTTTCTCAAGGGTTGTAGGACTGCTATTTTTTAAAAAAAGCAAATGTAGTTACTAGCAATAGTTAGAATGCTTAGTTCCATAATCTAAAAAATTTCAGAAGAAGATTGCTCTTCCAAAGGTGGGTTCTCTTTTTAAAAGGCAACTGGACTTTCTTAAGAGGTGGGTTGCTCCCGGTTTTACTACCGGTTCCCTTCTTGCGCATGCGCCAAACGCAAGCTGTGAGCACGTGCACAGTTCAATGTAAATTGTTCTTCGTGCATGAGCAGAACAATTTACAGTGAACTGCGCACATGTGCACACTACTAAACAGCGACAGCGACGACTGGGGAACCAATTTGAGGGTGTGGCCAGGGCTAAATACCACTACCAGTTCGGCCAAACCGGGCCGAACCAGGAGCAACCCACCTCTGGCTTTCTTGGTTTTTTTTCTTGAAAACATTTTGCTTCTCAAAACCAAAGAAGATTCTTGGATGAGAAGTGAAACGTTTTCAAGGAAAAAAAACATAAAAAGTTCAGTTGAAAAGCACCTTTGGGAAAACCATGACCTGGATGATTTGAGAATTTCCATAGGCAAAAATATTGCTTTTTGATTTCTTCATTTCTGCCCTGTGTGTAACCCTTTGTTGGATTTTTTTTCATGAGAGTAAAATGTCATTTCATCATTCAGTCCAGGATATTTAAAGAAGCCATTTCCTTTGATTTTCAACATGTTGCACGTGATAATGATTCAGTCATTATGAGATATTAAACCAAGTATACCCAGTGTATCCAGTCATTACTGGTGTCTTTTTAACCGACTGTTTCCCGTTATTTTTTTTCCCAAAACCACAGAACCGAATGAACTAATAATGTCATCTTATTACCCAATGAAAATATCAGTAGCCTTCTTATTGACAAACAAGTGTTACTTATTCTTATTTACAGGAGTAAACAATAAATCAGCTCAAGTTCTTCTGCTGTTGGTGATTCCTGGGCATTTAATATTTTTGTACACGATTCATTTAATGAAAAGTGGTCACACATCTTTGACACCCATCTTCATTGTTGTATATTTGTTCACAGCACTTCTACAGGTAAGGCTAAAACCTTTTTTGAAATATTATAGATTACGTATGGATGTAACAGCAGTCCTCTTTTCGTTCACCACTGCTCAAAATGGTATCTCAGTGATACTTTATGACAGGCGTCCCCAACCAGGAACCAAGGCACCAGGGACCGGTTCTGTGGAGAGAGGTTTTTCCACGGACCAGATGGGGCGTGGTTTGGCATGCTGCCTTTATCCCAAAGATGGAGCTTCGTTTGTGCAGCCCGGTTTCTGGCACGCTGTGGGCCAGTGGCAATACATGGACCATGGGTTGGGGACCTCTGCTTTATGATTATCGTGAATTGGTAAAGAAAATCCAGTGTTTGCATTTTTAGTTTGGAAGGATTCGTGGGGTACAATACAGCATACTCAAATTTTATAAAGCATTATGTTGTATAAAAATGTTTTTATTCTTTTGTATTATTCAGTTCTTCTGTCCATTATATTTAGGTCTCATTGTTCTTTTATTAGCTACATTAATATCTGCTATCCTCAGATATTAGGAACCAAAAAGCTAAACTGCATTTCACCCGATTTAATTAGAATCTTTTAAATAATAGAAAATATAGCAAAATAATAGTGACAATAACAATGTATAGTGTCAAGTCTCCGACTAACAAACTCAAGCAAATCAGAACCTTGAGACTTGGCTGCTTCTCAAAGGTCTTCTTTAATGAGTACATCATATTGGCACAGCTTCAATGGAAAACCAAATCAAAATCTTTCCCGTGGTTTCAGTACAATTAAACTAGGAAATAACCCCATTCCCCAATGTCACAGATCACTTTGGCCAATTGAATTAATTGGCGAGCTCTTCAGGCACTCCTTTCCCAGCCTTATCTGTGGTCAGTGGAGATGACCGGGAAAGCTCTTTGTTGTGTCTGGTAATGCATTCCATTATGTCCCCCACCCCCTTCCACCCTGTGTGGCAACTGAGGAACGGGGATGACCAGGTTCAGTTCGAAGTTGACAGTATAGTTTTGATGGGCTGTCTTCTAAATGGCACACACTCAAAAGTAAATCAGGAAGACTGTAATTGTGGGGTCTGTCTAGCAAGAACAAATAATGCTTTTCAACAGGAAATATGCATGTGTAAAGCTTGTAACAATTATGGATAGTTAGAAAGCTGATAAAAGTAATAAGAGTTAGGCAACTTGCAGATCTCAGCTAAAAGTTAGCAATGGAGATGGCCTGCAGCAAATGAAATGTGTATTAGATAACTCCTGGGGCATTCACTAAGGTTTAGGAATAGGGATAGCTAGAGACCAATAGAACCAATTGTAGAATTATTACTAAAATGTTTATTAGATGATATCTGTTACTATCTTGCCTTGTCCCGCCTTCTCCTTCAGTGAAAATGTATAAAGCTTTCTTAATTCTTTGTTCTTTGTCCTTGGCATTTAGGCCAGGAGCCCTTTTCCTTGGGGTACCCCAATAAAAAGCAATCAAAACTTGCACCTTGTGTCTGGTGTCCTTCATTGGCCTCGGCACCAGGCTCAGACCCGGATTGGGGACAACAGTTTCCTTGCACAATATTCAGGTTTTTTTAAGTCTTCATTTTAAGACTTATCGGCCACATAAAACTGAATACCAGAGAGCAATAACCAAGCCATCCATTTCATGATTCCGAGTTTGTAACTTCCAAAGCCTGTCCTTCATTTTGGCTAAACCTGCCAAGAGTTCACTGAGCCAAGGTGGCGCAGTGGTTAAATGCAGCACTGCAGGCTACTGCTAGATCAGCAGTTCAGCGGTTCAAATCTCACCGGCTCAGGGTTGACTCAGCCTTCCATCCTTCCGAGGTGGGTAAAATGAGGACCCAGATTGTTGGGGGCAATATGCTGACTCTCTGTAAACCGCTTAGAGAGGGCTGAAAGCCCTATGAAGCGGTATATAAGTCTACTGCTATTGCTATTGCTATTGCTATATGTTCGCATTTTCATGAGAAATCTCAGAATTCAGTTATATTAAGGTAGTATTCTTAAACCTTGGCCGTTTTCAAAATGTGTGGACTTCAGCTTCCAGAATTCCATAAGCAGCACACTGGCTGGAAAATTCTGGAAGTTGAAGTCCACAAATCTTAAGGTTGCCAAAATTGAAAACACTATGCTTAACAGGACTTGAAATAAACAAGTAATGTGGAAACTCACCTTGAACTTTAAACAGAAATGGTCAATTTATTTAAAATCAGAATTGTTCTGCAAATGTTCATGTAAGGTAGAATTCATTAGATTGGCTGTTGATCTTTTCTTACTGAGAATAGTGATCCAAATGTTTATGTGGGAATATTTATCTTCTAATGCAGTGTTTCTCAACCTTGGCGAGTTGAAGTCCACTGGACTTAAACTCTCTGGGAGTTGAAGTCCACTGGACTTAAACTCACCAAGGTTGAGAAACACTGTTCTAATGGTAGCCAGACAAATCTGACTTAAAGCAACAATTCAACAATATACAAGGTTTTGAAAAGAAAAATTAATAAAATGATAATGTGAACACACATGTGATGGCCTTTCTTGATGTTTTAGCAATATAAAGGAGGCATAATCTCTAAATAAATGGCCATTATCAGATATTTGTGAAGACTAACAGCTAGAAAATTGCAGATATCTGAAAATAAACAATTCACTTTAGCAATCAGATCCTGGCACTCTGAAATAACAATTGGAAAATTGTCAGCTAAATAATGGGAATGATTGTGTATCATGAGATGTCCCCATAGCAGCAGCAATGCTGGACTTGAGCATAATATTAGTAGTTCTTTTTTAAAAATATATCATACTTATTGGAGGGGTAGAGATACAAAGACAAATCAGCAAATAGTAGGTGGAAGGTAGTAGTGTTTCATCTTTCAGAAACCAAATATTCTCAAACACAATTTAACATCGTTTATTTTTGATAGGAGACAAGAGGATAAGATAAGAGAGGATACTCCTTGCTGAGAAATGATCCTACAGTGTAAAACTCAAGGTGGAATGGGAGCTCAGATTTTCATGTAAGGGATACAGGTGGTGTCTCTGTGTTGTTGTTAGAATTTATAGAAAGACCAATGGATTAGCTAGATTGGCATCAGACCACATCTCAGTGATTGTGATTGCTCTACAGATTGCTCTATTTATTTGTAAGGTAAGGGTAAAGGTTCCCCTCACACATATGTGCTAGTCATTCCCAACTCTAGGGGGCAGTGCTCATCTCTGTTTCAAAACTGAACAGCCAGCGCTGTCCGAAGTCCGTGGTCATGTGGCCAGCATGACTAAATGCCGAAGGTGCACGGAATGCTGTTACCTTGCCACCAAAGGGGGGGGGGTGGAATCCTATTTTTCTATTTGCATTTTTACGTGCTTTTGAACTGCTAGGTTGGCAGAAGTGGGACAAATAATGGGAGCTCACTCCGTTACGCAGCGCTAGGGATTCGAACCACTGAACTGCCAACCTTTCTTTTTTTTTTTTGAAAAGTTTTTTTTATTTTAATTGAACAAAAACACAAAAAAAGCATCATCCTTCATTACACCTTGTAGAAAGCGTGTTGATTGGTTACAGATAACTTTCGTGCATTTCTTCCACAGTTATTACTTATAGTTCATATTAGATGATACACTTTAAATCAAAAATCTTTGTATATCTTACTATCAATATACCACAATTCTCATTTGACTACAATTATTTAAACATGCTTTTACCTCAAATCATTCATACTTAAAGACACAACCACATCATGGCATTCATTAGCTATTTCAAAAAATCCTCCAATAACATTACACCTTTATGACATCTTTTAAGTAAAAGTCAATTAATAATGTTTCTAAACCTCCCCCGCCCCTTTCCCCCCCAACTCACTGTTTAGAATTTATATCCAAGTTACTTTTTCCAATACCATAGCATGTATATACAGTATTATTAAACAATGTCCATTGAGATTTCCTTGTTGTTATTATAATTGGCTAAAAATCATTCACTATTTATGTCCCATCTCCTCTCGTCATACCCCCCCAAAAAAAACCTTACATTTTTATGACAAGATCTAAATAAAAATTTGTTAATAAAATTTATAGGCCTTTTTCCCAAGTCACAATTTATATTCAAATTGCTTTTACTAGTTTGCCAGTACATGTATATATCACTAAGCTGTATCCATTATCATTTCATTATTGTTATTACAGTTAATTATTTGTTAACAAATAAACATTTAATAACAATCTAAAATAATCTAAGAGTTACTAAATTCCTACTTATTGATCAGACTGCCAACCTTTCTGATTGACAAGCTCAGCGTCTTAGCCCCTGAAACACTGCTCAGTGGCTAAGACAACACAACATAAGCTGTGATAATTGGCATTTTTAAAACATTATGTGATATCTAAATACCTTCTCTTCATTCAAACTAACATGACTATATTTGTTATGTCCCAGGCATTCTGAATGAATAAAGTTCTAAAGGTCTTTTTGAAAATCCCTGTGTTATGTCATGGTATTTTAGTTAGCTTACATTTTAGAATATTTTTAATCTCCATTTTCCCATTCATACTTTCAGACATCTGCTTTTGAACATTTGCCCTTCCCCACTCCATGTATTCCCCCCTGCCATATGATTAGTGTTGAGGCACAGAAGTCAATCCTGACCTACTCAGGTGACTGGAAGGGGAAAATATTCACCTTTGCTCTCCTTAATGTGGGCTCTTGGTCAGCTAAAATAATGGGGCTAGGTAATAACATCCCATATTTGATATGAAGTGACAGGAGGTTGCTCATGTAGAGATAAGTGCTGTTAGTGTGTCTTGTGGGTTTTTTGAAGAGTATGAGATTAACAAATGTTTGCATGAAGTTTTAAATGGCCAGTGTTGTCTGTTTTGGAAAAAAGAGGACCTGTCTTAAAAAATCCTATTCCAGGAGGGAAAAAAAGAGTCTTTCAAATATAATTTTTTGGATTAAAGAGTAGCACACTAAGCACACATATAATTAGCTTAGGCTCACACCTAGCACACATATAATTAGCTTAGACTACATAGTGACTTTTTCAGTAAAGATGTTTATCTAAATAAATAAAACATGTTCCTTCTATAATGGCAAAACTAGAAAGAAACTTGATCATTTGAAAATCGTGTAGCCATATGGATATTTTCCTTTGTAGCATAAAATCAAAGGTTTTGTGCTTTTAGAAGTATTAAATTATTTCAGGGTACTTAATACTTAACATGTTTCTGATTTGGGATGTTGATTACTTACATTATTTTTAAAGAAATATGAACTTTCAAACTGGTCTATAAAATATTGTGAGACATACAAAGTTTGCAATATTTTAAATTTGTTTCCGCCTGTAGAAATCTATAGAACTCTTTAGGTTGGAAATATAATTTCCCAAATTAGATTAGTTTAAGTTATAACTCTGCAGGCTGGTTATTTAGTTTAAGCAATTCCTGTAAAAAGGTAAATAACAAGGAAATTATGATTATGATTATGGTTCGTCACACAGTCAGCCAGATGTTTAGACTGGATTTGGCATTTTTAAGTATCTATTGAGTTCTTCCTAAGGATCTGGGATATGCAAAAGTTGTTGTTTGTTATTGTTAACAGTATCAGCACAGGATGTAGGCTGTTCCAAATAAGCTGCCTTTTGCAATTGAGGGTAATTTTGTCAATTGTAATGCCAAGGGTGTTCACATGGAACTCCAGTTTTTTTGGGATTGCACCCAAGGCATCTATATCAGAGGTGGGTTTCTGCTTGTTCAGCTGGATCGGGCGAACCGGTAGTGGCGGTGACAGGAGT